TATATATATATATATATATATATATATATATATATATATATATATATATATATATATATATATATATATATATATATATATATATATATATATATATATATATATATATATATATATATATATATATATATATATATATATATATATATATATATATATATATATATATATATATATATATATATATATATATATATATATATATATATATATATATATATATATATATATATATATATATATATATATATATATATATATATATATATATATATATATATATATATATATATATATATATATATATATATATATATATATATATATATATATATATATATATATATATATATATATATATATATATATATATATATATATATATATATATATATATATATATATATATATATATATATATATATATATATAATGGAAGATATATCGGCGTGCAAAACTCCAGAGTAGTAGAAAACTAACACGGGACCTCCGGTGTTAACCTCTCGTGCCCTAGACCGATCACTTAACGAGCGAAGCTGACTGGGACCTATGTCCTTGATGATAAATTGAAATTGACAAAGTATATATGATGCCCAACATATGCAGTGGTATTTTCCAACACTGACAAGACTTTCCACAGCCACGGACAGACAAATTACACAATATATCTATAATATAATATAATGTAATACATAAGGACTGGCAAAAGTTGGTCACTCGGTAAAAAAATGTCAGTCTGGTCGAGATTGCAACTCACTTGAACGAGAACGCCGTCGTTGCAGTTTTTCTGCGCGTTCAGGTGGGAACACATCATCCGAGAGTGACAACGAGCTTACTGTTCGGATCTAACTATGGGAACCCGTCGGTATTGTTGTGGAAACTGTTAGCCTGAGGACTCACACGGGTGAGATTGGGTCCGTCCGCGACAGTCGGAAAATTCCTCCAAATGTTGGGTGTGGAGAAGGGGGTTCCAAACTTCGTCGTCAGGTGACTTTACGGAAGATGACGGAAAAAAGAAAGCAGCACGCCGAGATGGCAATGACGACGCAGATGACAGAGAGGGTCCACGGTTAGTTCCACCACCGCCATCGCCAGCAGGTTCGATATTCGGACAAGTCGTACTGGTCGGTGGAAAACCAAAATCTTCAGCAGTACCCAAATTATGAAGAGAAGAATGACCGAGACGACCTCGGTGGGGATAGTCATGCAGTGGATTGCATGCGGTTTCACCACGAAGTTGGTCCTGCTCGAACTCATCTCCGAATTCAAGAGACAGGCTAGAGGGTACTGGAACGGTATTGGCTAACCACCGAGAATTCCAAGCACCCACATCGTGGAAACTTTCACTTCCAGGCAAGTCGGAAACTGACGCATCCGGTGGTAAGCAACTTACACCAACGGCCTGGAACTGAATAAGCACGATAAAAGAAAGCTTAGACTATTGAAATACAATCAGGAGCGCACAGAAGTGAGCGTAGTTAAACTGAAGAGTTAAAAAAACAATGGTATCAATTCCTCAGGGCGTGAGAGACATCTCGGTCAGCGTAGCAGATTGGTTTCCATTGATCACTTCTGAAGTGTTCTGGTGAAGTAGACCCACTTGGAACCTCAGCGCACCACAAAGCCCCCCTCAACCATTCAACAGGATACCGAACCTAAACTAAGGATAGAGCATCCATAAAGTGAGCTGATTCACCTCTGAGATGAGATTATTCTGATCCAATCCAATCGCTCCGAGGAAATGCATCGAATCACCCGGGGCGGTTACGTTATCACCAAATAAGAAATGCCACACAATGTCATTGATCCAGACCTATTGGTCAATGATTGCTTTAGAGTTTGTGTCATAAGTGGTACTGAGACATTAACCGGTCAAAATAACCGACTGCTTTTCACTAAAATCGACTTAGCCGATAACTGAACACACAAAGCCGCCTGCTGGAACGGTTCACAGTTGATATATCGATTGAAGTTAGCAGGGTTGACGCAACACAAGATAACTACTCGAGTTTCCAAATGTTTTCAGAGAACAACGATAGCTTATCCTGTTTGGTAGTTGATTTCGGTATGAACAGAGAAAAACTAACGTGGATGCGGGGGTGGGGGTGCGCGTGGACGACCACCGTAGAAATTCACCAAGTTACGCCACTGAATGCAAATCACGGTAGGGACCGAATGGGTGGCGCGTTAACTTCAGACGAAGTGGAGAAAACTATCATGGAAACTGCTGAGATATCGGGATAGAAATCAAAGTTCGTTGATCTAATGCAGAAGTCATGCGACACGGTTCCCATTGGCATCGCTACCGAAAGTCTCATCGAACAGTTGACCTCTACCCATCGGGAACACACGACCGATCGTAATTGATGGTGGACTTCCTGGAGGGACTCGCTCTTTGAGAGTTGATGTAGTAGTGTATTCTGTCGACTGACGAGCATTTCATCTCACGACATTCAAAAAACCATACATGACCCGGACGGAGAAAGAAGCTCCGTATATTGAAATCCCAGCAGTTCTTATTATCATCAAATGATGCCAACCAAGTACATTCAAAACGAATAAAGCGATGGAGAGGTGCAAAAGGGTAGGAGGGCCTAGGGGAGAACAATTATTACCGAAATACACTCATTTGCATACCAATTTGGCTCTGATGGAAGACTCGCCTGGAACCCAGCTGAACTCCTCGTTCATGATGTTCTTAAGCAACTGAATGTGCTACACTAAGTCGCTTCATGTTTCAGTTTCTACAATATTCCGTATACCTGGATATATTGTATACATGTAATGCACTACCCACAAGGTTGCTGAAAGCTCTTCGACAGCCCACGACCGGGGCTCATCAAGTAGGCGCAATCCCCGAGTTATTGTCAACGTTATGTTTTAAGGATATCATAAACGCGAGATTCAGCTGGGTTCGAGGTATCCCCGTCAAAATCAAATTGAATGAATGTATAAATCGCTAATTCCGTGCGATTCGGGTTCAAGTACAACATAAGGTTGACGGGAACTCGGAAAGTGCGTTTACCTGATGAGTGCCAAGAAGGGTGTGGGCTGTCAAACAAACTTTATCAACCCTATGAGTAATGTATCACGTCCATAGAACGATTATTCTTTTCGATGGAATATACCGGTGATGCAAGTGTTTGACCCAGAGAATTAGGCAAGAAAAAATAACTTCTAGCCGCTTAGGTTTGTCCCAAGTAAGACTGTTTGAATTTCTCCGGGTGCAAAAGCCACATGACAAAAATATTTGATATAAGGGCACCGGCAACTACGTATAAACTGGTCCGTTTTTGTCAGTAAAATCAGTTTTCTCATCGGAATGGCTGTGGAACCTCGGCTTTCTACGCCGGTTTCGGGCTGGGTTCGATTCAAACGTGTGATTATGAATTGTACTTGTGTGCTAATGCACTTGTCTGTGCTAGGAAAGCCTAGCCTTGGAATCGATAATAGTAACTCCATAAGGTAATGAAGATCATGAAAAATCTACTGGTCTGAGGAGTCCTCTCCGTTCCAACCAACCTGGCACGATGACTAATCTTGTGGCACTACAGTGGAGACTCCAGGGTTACACTAAAACCGTACCAGGCGACGGAAGGGAGCTCAGTTTCATTGCTGTCACCCGTCGCTCAGTTGAACCACCCTTTTGGTGCCTAACTGCCATGCCACCCGAAGGGTGCACGAGGGCTAGGATACCGCCAGGTTGCCCAAGCCTAGACAGGCGAAGTCGAGAGACAGAGGTCGGGTTCGAACCACGGACCTTCCGGTCAGTAAATTCGCGCTCTAACCACTTGGGTCGTCTCGCTACCGTCGTTCAGACGGTAGGTGTTGTACTAGGGGTAGTGTCAAAAATCAACAAGTAGAAAGATTTAGGGGGTTGGATGCGAAAGAAAACGGGGTATGACTATTCTACAGAACGGAAATGCTGCTGTTTCAAATCACAGGCCTTTCGACCCAAGGTTTGTTTCGGGGAAACCGCTTTCCGACTTTTCAAAATTCAATGTATTGTCACAATTCGTTCGGGCACGAGATGACCGACACCAGTAACAAAATCAGCGCAGGTTCAGCTGGACCGTAGCATGACGCGTTCAAGACCGAAGTCATGGAGGGCTCTGAGCTACCAACCCATAGTCCCCACGGTAAAGTCAAACGAGTCCCAATGAAAGGACGACATAAAACGGTTTACGAATTAGTTAGAAAACGCACTCTGACAACTCGCCAAGGGGATGCTTCAGATGAACATTGCTATTCGTTCATATACGACAACCTCAAGGGCCTACATGCGTCCCGCATGACTAAAACAACTCCGGCTCCAACAAGCACTCAAACGACCTACTGTAGTTTATACTATCAAAACCAAGACTCCAAGGCTTAGGTTCATTTCGATTTCATGGTACTCAAAACGACAGTACCCATGATTCTGAGGGTGAACTTTACGTTAAGGGCAGCCGATACACAGTAGACACAAGATGGATGTGGAAAACCTTACATACCTCGGTAGTCCATGATTCTGTGAACTTTACGTTAAGGGCAGCCCATACACAGTAGACACAAGATGGATGTGGAAAACCTTACATACCTCAGTAGTTGTATGTATTCTGACGGAAGCGTGTCTGATGAAGTCAGTGCAAGAATCTCAAAGGCTAGAATCACGTTTGCTAACTTGCGTCACTTGCGGCGTCAAAAAGGCATCTCACTGGATCTTAAGGGTAGTGTGTATCAGGCTACAGTAAAGGCTGTGTTGTTGTATGGGTGCGAGACATGGCCTCTTCGGGTAGATGATGTGAGGCGTCTTCAGGTTTTCGACCACCGATGCCTCAGAAGCGTGGCTGGTTGTGGATGGCGTCAGCGTGTCAGTAACGAGGCGATTAGAAAACGGGTATTTGGTTGTGCTGCAGGCACCTCAATCCGGGAAAACATCCAGCATCATCGACTGCGATGGCTCGGTCATGTGCTACGCATGCCGAAACACCGTCTACCAAGCATCAGTGGCAACACTGATGTTGGTGTCATTGATGATGATGATGATGACGGATGAAGTCTGGATGCTGATTGAGTGCGCTCACAAGACAGAACATCATAGAATGCAAAGCGCCTTACTTTTCTAAGAATAGAGGTAAGTAAGCTTAAAGACAAAAGCCTGGTTAAAACGAAACGATTATCCGAACACCGAAAATAATCATGACATTTACGCGGGCCGCTGAATTGTATTTAAAGAGGGGTACCTCAGACACGAGAACTGAATGAAGGTTGACCGCAAAAATCTACCAAGGGGTAATGAAAAATGTGACCAGGCTTCTCAATGTCTTAAATGTAGGGTCATGTGCGTTGCTGGAGCCTGGCTAAATTAGAGGTGCTAAGGTTATACGTATTTGGAGATGCCAGTGCATCGCCCTGGACTCGGGGGTGAGAGTGAAGTATGATCGACGTTATCTTTGACGTTCCTGAGCGGATGTGAGTGCGAGTCAGATAGAAGGGGTGTATAAGAGTCATTGCATTAAGTGAATGATGTACGTGTGAACTTGTTGACGAATGTGCAGTCAAGGTGTGAGATGGTGGATGGGTATAATGCCTTGATAACGCCTGAGAAACGAATGTGGGCGTAATGTGGATTGCAGTTTATAAGTTTGACTTCCTCAACGATTGGTCCATACTTTGAGGCACAGTCAAGTCTCTTCCGCAAAATGGGTTCTGGTATAGTTAGCCAGGTCGGTATAGATAGACCACAGGATGACCGATATCCAAACCGAAACATACGTTCTGGAATGGCATTTGGGGAAGCACAGAGAAGGGATCGTATATAGTAGAGGGCGTCCGACGGAGACGAATCCCAGTAACAGATGTGAAGGTCTTTCGTCTTAAGTCCGAGCTGGATCGCGCTTCAAAGTGTCTCGTTGAGATGTTCGACCTGCCCGTTCCCCTAGTGATCATAAGCAGTCGTTCGGCTGGTACAAACTCCTCTGTTATGTAGGAATGTGGACAGTTCGTCAGCCAT